GGAGGTGGGGAAATGCAGGAGGGGTGGGGCTAGGAGGAAAGGCAACACAAGAGGAGGTGGGGAAATGCAGGAGGGGCGGGGCGGGAAGGGCACCTCCAAACAAGTGAGTTCTGCTCTCCAGAGTGAGGACAGCGGAGGGAGCCGAGAGGGGATGGAGGCCAGGAAAGGTAGTCAAACCCCGGCTGCTTTCCTGATGCTGGGCCCAGATGGCCCAAGCAGCTTGGGGGTCCCGCCACAGGCCACATCTCCTTCCCACTCCACAGGGCGGGGGAAATCTCCTCACCCAGAGGGGGCTAGCCCCACGTCTCCAGGCCAGAGGGAGGAGTGGGGCACGGGGCCCCGCTGGGAGGTGCCAAGTACCTTGGGAGGCCAGCATGGCGCCCGCCGTCTCCTGGAAGTCCAGGAGCTGCTGCAAGAAAAGGATGGCCTGCGTGGGGAGAAAACAGGTCCAGGAAGAAGGTCAAGGGCAGGACCCAAAGGTCGGATCACCTCCTACAGTTCAGTTCACCCCCTCTGACCATTCCAGGACAGGTACAGGGCCAGGGGCCTGCCCAGTGAAAAGGGTGGCTGCAAACTTCGTGCTTCACCCTGTGGGTTTGGCCTCCTGGGAAAGGCCGTGTCTGCTGGGGGCACTAAGCACCTTGCAGTCCATCCTGCCACCTGCGCCCCCTCCCCGCCCCAGGAGCCCCCGGGCAGCACCTACGTTGCTCGTGAGCTCGTGCACGGTGCCGTCCTTGGGCATGTTGTACTCCTTGTCCGGGTCGTTCTGTGGGAAGAACAGCCTGACTCCCTGAAGCAGCTCCCGGGGAGTCCCGCGCCCACCCCACACCCCAGTCTGCGGGCTCATGGCGCCACCTCCTGGCAGACAGGTGTCAGGATGCCCCTCGGGCACAAAGGTGAGCGGGACAGACATACGGACATGACTACATGGGAAAAGCGGGGCAGGAGCTTGACGCCTGGGGTGGGGGCCTCTGGAGCCCCTGGGGAAGAAAGGGGGGCCCGTGGGCACTGACAGGAGACTAGCGGCACGGCCGGCTTCCCCACAGGGCAGGCCCGCCCCTCTTGGAGGCCTGCTTTCAGAAAGAGTTTCCAAGCCAGGTCACCGGCGGCCCTGCCCACAGCCTCACGGGCCGTCCTGCACGGCAGCGGAGGGAGGGAGAGCACCTTGATGTTGTCAGCGAAGTCCTCCAGCGCTTTGGCTCCAACGGTCTCCATGGAGGTGATGAGGCTGGGCAGCTTGTTCTTGGTGCTGGCCGCCGTCCCCTGAGGAAGCACATGGCTGCACAGGGCGCAAGAACCCGGCTACAGGCTGTGCCTGGGGCCCTGCTCCTTCCCGGCCCCTCACCCCAGGGGACTGTCTCCCCTCTTCACTCACCCTGAGAGCACCTCCACATGCCCGGGGCCCCGAGGAAGCTGCTGCCATTCACCCTCGGAGCGGACCCGTGGGGGTAGAGAACACAGTTCTCCTGGGGGGCCGTGCCGGGCAGCAGGATTCCTCCTTCCGGGGTCCCCAAGGGCATCCTCACCCACATACCTGGAGCACCTGGTCAAACTCAGGCTTGGTCTGCTTGAGGTGCCGCAGGATGGGGAAGACGGTGAGCACAGCCGAGAAGTCGTGTCGGATGATGGCCTTCCGGGCAGCAGCCACGATGTTCTCCCCTTCAAGCATCAGCCCGTCCAGGGCATCCTGAGAGAGCGGGGCAGGGAGAGGGCTCAGGGGAGGGGGCAGACAGCCGGTTCCCAGGGACGGTGAGGGCACCTGGAGGGGCGTGGGGGAAGTATGCCCCCAATGGGGAGGTCCCGACCGGGACACGCCGCCCAGGACAGATCCCCAGGATGGGAGGTGGAGGTGGTGGCTGGAGTTGAGGGCTGTGGACCGCATGCCCGGACCGAACTCAAGCTTCTGCAGTGACAGCTCGTGCTGGGGCATCTGGTCAGGGCCCAGGGGCAGGACCTGTATCAAAGAGTCAAAGGTCTTTTTCTGATGGTGCTCAGGGATGACGTCCGTCAGCAGCTGGTACTCGCTCTGGGCCAGCTTGACAAAGGCACTGACGCAGTGAATGTAGGCGTCGGTCTCCACGTCCAGCATGTCATCTCTCCCTGGGGGGAAAGCAGTGCCCCTGAGCTACTGGTTTGGGGCAGACCCTCTCCCTGCTGGGGGGTGGGGCACGAGTCTCCCCAGTTCCTGGCCTGTAGCCAGACTAGCAGCAGATGGGGAAGACGACTGTGCTGGCAGAAAGCTGGGAGAACTCCAGCAGGCCCGGCAGGGTTCGCGAGGAAAACCGGGCTGAGTCCAGCCTTTGTTCCAGAATGTCAGGTACGAGAGGTGTTGGGGAGATGGATAAAAAGGATAAGATCCCCCAATCGACTTCCTGGATAAGACACGCCTGACCCCAAGACTGAGGATTCTGAATTGTACTGGGAAGAGGACACCCAGGGATGGGCAAGTGGCCGCGTCCACCTCAGGGAGGCAGGCACAGTGGTCATCCATGTCCGAAAATGCTGGGCCTCTGGAGCCAGATACCAGCCCCGCCAGGCCTTCTGGAATGTATAAAGAGGCGGTGGGCTCTGGTCCATAAGGCTAGCTGGCATGGCGTCAAAGCTGGAGATGAGGCAATGTGAGCCTCAGAGGGGGAGGGCTCCTTGGTTGTCAGCTGCCCCAGCAGGAGACAGGATCCCGCTACTGCATTGCAGGCTGGGGCAGGGGTGCCCGCAGGCAACCTGGTCCTATGTGCCGAGGGACGGGCTCCGAGGAGTCAGAGCTTTGGAGCCATCGCTGCAGTCAGGTGTTGATGCTCCCTGCCCTCCAGGGGCCCGCCTGCCCTCTCTGCCCGCCTTCCGAGTGGCGGCAACTTCTGCCCTTGGCCCAGGCCCTGAGAGCCAGGCGTGCACTCCCACCTGGAGAGAGGCAAGGGGACCTAGTGCCCAAAAGAGAGACAGACCGGAGAGAGAGAGAGGCGAGTAGGCCGGGCTCATCCTTGGAGCGGAGCGGCCGGCTAGGCCAGGCCGGAGCAGGCCCTCTGGGGACGGCCGTGAATGCAGCGGCGGCTGCCCTCGGCTGGGCTGCAGTACTCACCGGCCAGTGGCCCGTGCTTGTCGTTCAGGGCCTCGGACAGGTGCTTAACTCGGAAATCATGCTCGTGACCTAGCGAGACGTCGGCCGCAAACACAAGCAGCGTTTATCCAGGGGCGGGGTGGCTGCCTCTCGGGGGACTGGGAAGAAGCCCTCGACCTCCGGGGGGGGATGTGAGATGGGGTGTAGGGGAAGGGGCATTGGAGAGGGCTCTGAGCCCCTCCTCTGCCTCAGACCACCTTGGGAACAGCCATTTCAAGCGTGACTTGCAGTGCCCCAGGCCATCCTCGGGAGCTGGTTTCCCCACGCCTGGAGGCTGAGAGAAAACCGGGTTTCTGAAGCGTTTCCAGCAGCTGCGGAAGGTCTGATGCTCAGCCCCAGGGGGTTTATCTCACCATATTTGGGGAGAGATCCAGTTAGAGAAATGTCACTGCCCAGTGAATGGGGACAGGCTTCTTTTCGCCCCCAGGGTCATTCTTTTGAAGGTGGATCTGGTCCACTAGGGCAGGGCTGTCCTTCCTCTGATGGGAGGGAGGCAGGGACATGGTGTACGGGCTGCCTGTCCCCTGTGGCACATGCTCGCCTTTCAGGTGGAGGGGGGCGGCCAGGAGGCCTCGGCCGCCTTGGTCCTGCCACTGCTGGTCTGAGCGTGAAAGGGCTGCCCGTGACAAAGAACTTTCTCTGAGTTCAAACAGGAGACAAGGACAGAGACAGGGAGGGGAGGGAGCGGGAAGCCTCCGGGAGGGCAGAGCCGCCGTCAGCCAGACAGGACCAGGCTGAGGGCCATGAAAGCTGCCCCCGAGCCAGCTGGGGTCAGAGGCCCAGGACCTCAGTTCCCACCCCTGGTCCCCTCTCAGGGTTGCGCCCGAGGCCCTCTGGGGGGTTGGAGGCTCTGCCCTACCACGTGAGTGGACACACGGTGGAAGAGGAGGGAAGAGGAGAGGAACACAGGATGATTACCTTCCAGAGGAATGAGGTTAGAGCCCCCCTTTTTCCCATCTAGACCATGCTGGGAATACTGTTTCAGAAGGTTCTGAGCCTTACGGATCGTCCCTGTCACCAGAGCCACACAGAGAGGAGATAAGAAGACCTAGGAAATGAGTGAGAGAAAACAGCAGCAGCCCTCCACCTACCCCCCAGGCCCACGCCCACCCCCAGCAGAGAGCACGCCCGGGTACCATCTCTCCCAGCAGGCCTCTTCCGGGCCCGCCGGAGGCCCCGCAGAAGGAGATGGAGGAACGGACACATTTCGTTCCCCCGGTGGAGCTCCTGATCCTGCCAGTGACCCTCATCGTTCCAGATCTGAGTTCATTTTAGGAAGTGCAGAGGGTGAAGGAGATGAGATGGGCAAAGATCCACCAGGAGACGCCAAATATAAAAAACAGTACTGAGTGGCACTTAACTCAGAAATAGACAAGGGCCTGGGATGGAGGAGCTAGCGATGGAGCCCTCACACCCAGAAGGCGAGACCAAGTGGCAGAGCCTGGGGGCACCTTGAAGCAGGCAGGCCCATGGCTCCTCCCCCAAAGGGCAGGCAGAGTTCTCCGGGCATGCTCAGTGCCGGGACGCGGCCAAACAGTAGCCAGAGGAAAGCAGCACCCAGGAGTTGGTGAAATGGGACTGAGCTTCCTGGGCTAGCAGCGCCCAAGACAGAAGGCTTGGAGACCCAGAGGCAGACTGACCCCATACACCAGGGGAGGGACCCAAACCACCAAAGCAATTGGGAAAAACTCAAAAGCCAAAAAGAAGTTAATAGGAGCCATCACACAGAGAGCAGGAGGGAGGGCAGCAGGAAAGGGCACATGCTCTTGGCATGGGGGGAAAAAACCAACAGTTAGTATCACAAGTGAGAACAATGGAAACAAAACTGCAGCGCCCACAGCCTCCAGGGTCAGCTGCCTCTGTGGGAACGAGACATCTCAGGGCAGAAAACGTGGGGAAATAAAACAGCATCTAAAACAGATGTGTACAGCTGCCCTGTTAATAAAATGTACTGGGGCAGGGGAGGCACCCATGAGCGTAGCTCCGTCCCTCTTCCCTGGGGACTCCCAGGTGCCCCCTCGCATCTCTGAGCGCAGCGAGGCTCCTTGGGGCCTGGCAGCTCCCCAGAAGGCTAGCGGAGAAGGGGCAGCGTCTGAGCGGCTCATCTCTTTCTGTTCGCACCAGCCGCAGTTAGTTACTAATAACCAAGTTTGGGGCCTGGGCTCAGCATCTGTCTGGCTGGGTTCTGCCCCTTCAGTGAGCAGCCCCGCTAATGAGCGAATCAGTGCCCGGCCCCGCAACCGACCAGGAGCAGGCGGGCCCGCCGCGCCTCCAGGAGCCTCGCCAGTATGCTCGCGTGGACGCAGGCTGGGGGCACTGATCCGGCAGCCGCCAAACCCACCAGGAGCACAATTACCACGAACGACGCTGAGGTCGGTGTTTCATTACCCACTGAGGCTTCCCTGCTCCTCTCCTCAAGAGCTGGGAACTGATGTCCCAGCGGCCTGATTCCCTAGTTCCTGACGTCAGTCCTGAGCCCCCCAGCTCCTGACAACTCTTGAAACCCCACAGAAACCAGAGGGACGCTCAGAGCCCGAGTTTTCCTCTTGGGGCTCTAAGCCAAGCTAGATTAGGTAAACTGGGGGCCCCGAGATCAGATCCCTGCTCCCTGCATGGCCAGCAGCACTCCTGGATGCAGTCTGGGTCCTGGGGCCTCCACTGGGCCCATCAGAGAAGAGACAGAGGGGAAGAGAGCACAGACTCGCCAAGGCCCAGGCAGCCTTGCAGCCTCCCGGAACCAAGGCACAGAGACGGACAGGCCCAGGTGCAGGCAGCTGCGGCCGCGCAGGCTGGCTTAGTAGAGTCACCGTTTGTGGCAGGTTCCCCAGGGGGTCAGCCAGGATATCCACACTGGAGGGGGGAGGACAGTGCTCTTCCTGCTGGGGCCACCCAGATTCCCTTATGCTCTACTCCCTTGCACCCCTGCGGGCACCCTCGGCTCCGCCATATCTCCAAAGCCTGAACAAAGGCCTGAGGAAGAGCAGGTGCTCGCGGCGAGTGTCAACAGGCCCCTCGTTCTCTGAGGGGCAGGCAAGGAAAACGCTGTCGTGAGGGGCGGGTCCCACCGGTGCGTGTGCCCACAGCAGCAGCTGGACAGGGAAGGCTAGGGTGGGAGCAGCCCCCAGCCTCACTGGCTCTCTCTCCCTGGGGCCTGCAGCAGCCCCTCACCCTGGAATACCCCAGCCTCTCGAGGGCCACACCTCTCAGCAGCCAGACACAGCCAGGCTTGCCAAGCAGAAGCTGACACACAGGAACACTGTTTACCTGGAGCATAGACTACAGGGGACATGATGACGGGAAGAAGGACAGACAGTGAGCTGTTCGCCCAGGACACCGACGTCCACGGCCCAGGCGTCTCCCACCTCAACACCCCTCCCTTGACTCTCCCACCGCAAGGCACTAACTTCGAGTGGAGCCCAAAAGCCGGATTAAGTTCTTTGGAGAGGAAGGCGTGGCATTATTTTCCTTTCTGGGTGACTGTGAAGGTGTAAACTCTCCCCTACCCACTTCTTCAAGCCACCCTGGCCTTCTGCAATGTGACAGCTGCAGTGCCTGCCCCTGTCCTGTCCACGGTTTTGGCGGCAGCAGCAGGCCTGGCCTCCTGATAGGACGACGCAGGGAGGAGAAGGGGGTCCAGCAAGGGGCTCTGCCCCGGCACCCCTGTCAGCCCACCTCTCCGTGCCTGTGACCCTCCACTCCAAGGACACTTATGTAGCCCCCAGACTCGGCTGGGTAGAGAGGAGCTCACTGGGTGGGGCCTTGCTAGGTGGGCAGACACCTGCTTTCTGTCCTGCGTACCTATAGTTGGGGGTCGCTGTGAGGTCAAGCTGTAGCGGCTGCTACCCCCAGGGTGGGCAAAGGCAACCCGGGTCCCACAGAGCTTCTGTCTGGTTCTGAGGAGGGCCAGGGTGGGGTCTCACCTGGCCGCTTGACCGGCTTCTTGGTAGGTGTGTCCTTCCTCTTGTTGGGGACAGCAGGGGAGTATGGGACCCCAGATGAAGAACTGCTCTTCCGGAAATGCTCCTTCAGGCCTTTGATGGAGCGGTCCAGCTGGCTGGAGCGGATCTGGTAGTAGACGTTCATGAAGTCTGAGGAGAGATGGGCGACAGCTGGGGTCCCTGCCTCTGCCTGGCCCCAGGGCCTCCCTCTCACTTCCAGACGCAGCTCCGCAGGGCAGCAGCAGTGCCCACCACTGTTCCGTGATAACCCTTCCCAGTGGCCTCCCACATGGCCTCGTCCGTCCCAAATCAAAGGCTTAAAAGGGAAAGTATCCCCCAACAGAACCAACAATTAGTTGTTATTTTTTATTTTATTTATTTATTTTTGGCCGCGCCATGTGGCTTGTGGGATCTTAGGTCTCCAGCCAGGGGTTGAACCCGGACCCCTGGCAGTGAAAGTGCCAAGTCCTAACTACTGAACTGCCAGGGAATTCCCTGTAAGGTTTTTCTTTTCTTTTTTTTTTTTTGGCCATGCCACGCGGCATCTTCCCTGACCAGGGATTGAACCCATGTCCCCTGTGCGGGAAGTGCAGAGTCTTGACCACTGGACTGCCAAGGAAGTCCACAGTAAGGTTTTTTTAGATAAAAAAAAATGTAAAGTTTACATCCGGCTTCAACTTGCTAAGGGGTCAAAGGATGTGAGCAATTTATATGCGGTAAAGAGACAACAGATGTCACTGAATAAAAAAACACACCATTTCTTTAGCCATGAATGAAATGCAAATTTTAAAAAATTCGAGGATTGTGAAAGCCCTGTCAAAAAGCTAAGATAAATGAAGCTAATGAAGAACAAACAGCTGTGGGATTTTCGATGGGTCAGTCGACTGGCCCCACCTACCCGGAGAGGAACTCGAGATGGCAAGAAGGTTACAGATCCGTTCAGACAGTTCTGCCTGATAACTGTACCTTTGAGAAAACATCTCAGAGAACTTCCTAAATAAGAAAAGCAAGCCATACAACTGTGCTCATTGCAGCACTAACTGTCAGCACTGGAAAACTGGAAAATCCAAAAATGCAAGCGAGCAAGGAAAAAGACACGAATGCCGCGGTACACTTTAGCAGCTCCCAACAAGTGTGTCACCAATGTGAAAAATGGAACAGAGCACTGAGGCTCTGACTGAAGGGGACTGAGGGGTCTGGAGGCATCCACTGGCCTCCCGCTTATCCCAAGGGAGCCCCCGAAAAGCTCCTGCCGAGCCCTCGGCTCCCACAGTGCAGCTCATGAGCCACAGACGTGCCGCACGGTCAGTACAGGCGGCCCTGAGACCTGGCACCACAGAGTCCTCGAGGGAAGGCAGGGACAGTGATAACGCACACTGACAACTTGGTATGTGTACAAACTAACAAAGAGACGAAGAGTGTGGAGGGCTAAAAAGCTTAAAATTGAATATTCATTACAGGTGGGTTTTTTTTTAATTTTTTGCTTAACTTGGGATTTAAAAAAAAATCCTGGGACTGGATTTAAAGAAATGATGGTACCAACATACCATGGAATATTATGCAGCTGCCAAAAAGAATGAAGCAAATATACATGTACTGATACGGAACACTCTCAAGACGTATTACTAAGTTGAAAGCAAAATAAAAAACAAAACAATCACAGGGGAGTGTTTAGTATGCTCCCTTCCACTTGGGAACGAGGAGCAGATACACACATATTTATTCTCTCTCTCTCACACACACGCAGTGGCATAAAGAATTTTTTGGAAGGGTATAAATAACCTTAACAGTACTCATCTTTGGGTTATGATACTGTAAGCATTAGGGAAGTGGGGAGATGGACTTTTGCTTTTCACCTAAGCCTTTCTGTGCTACTTGAAGTTTTTATAATTAGTCAAAAAAAGGAAAGAAACAGGAAGGTAAGGTATATAAAAAAAGCTTGAATTTAGCTAGATTCATAATTTGATACATAAGCTGTAGACTTATTCCTCATATTGTTTCCTACTAAACTCCTTTGTTTTAAAAGAAATGCAGGTGGATTAAAGAAACAAAGGGCAAAGTCCACTCCCTCTGGCCCTGCCGCCTGGGCCCCCGCCTCTCCAGGACACCTCACCTTGGTTGCGGCCATATTCCACCAGCCAGCGGGAGATGCGGATCACGTCCTGCAGCACACTCTCAGGCAGATGCTCTAGGGGCACCTCCTCCTGTACCTCCAGGTCGTCTTCACCGCTGATCAGATCCAGGATGAGCACAGGGGACACGACCTTGCTATGCCGGGTCATCAGGCTGCGGAACTCGGACTCCAGCGACTCCTTCCCCCGCTCGAACAGCAGCTTCTACAGGGAAGAAGGAAGGAAGGGGGGAGGGGAAGAAGAAAGAGGGCCCACCGGCTGTTCCAGCATTCAGCAGGCCCTCGCCTCCCCATCCCCTTCCTTTGCCTTCCTGATTCTGGGCCTCGGCCCTCCTCTGCCTTCACTTCCGTTTTCCCAGAGAATGAACAGTGAGAAGCTTTGCTTATTTCTTTCCCTTGTGTTCTCTCAAAATCTATGTTCATAGTGAAACCCAGAGTTTTACAAGAGGCAGGTGCTTCACAGATATCAGCTGATTATTTTCTCATTGTACCATTAATTTGTGTTCTTGTTAGAAAAGGGGCTGCAAAAGAAAAAAAATAGATAAACTGGACTACATCAAATTAAACACTTTTGTGCTGTAAACGATACCATCAAAAAAGTGAAAAGACAATTCACAGAATGAGAGGAAATACTTGCAAATCATGTATCTGATGAGCGAAAGGTATCCAGAGCAGACAAGAGAATTGAAAGCATATGTCCACACAAAAGTTCGTACACAAGGGTTCATAGCAACACTGTTCATAACAGCCAAAAAGTGGAGTCTCCATCAAGTGACGGATGGATAAACAAAATGTGGCAGATCCATACAATGCAATATTATTCAACCACACGATGGAAGGAAACACTTCCACACGCTACCACATAGATGAACCTTGAAAACATTATGCTAAGTGAAGGAAGCCAGGCACAAAAGGTCACATATTGTGTGATTCCATTTTCAGGAGAAGTCCAGAATAGGTAAATTTACAGAGACAGAAAATAGATGAGTGATTACCAGAGGCTGGGTGAATGGGGGAGGGAAGGGAAGAAGAGTGGCTGCCAATGGATTTCTTTTTTATAGGCGATGAAAATGTTATAAAATTTATTCCGGTGTTGTTGCACAACTCTGTAATTATACTAAAACTACTGCGTTTTATACTTTAAATGGGTAAATTTTATGGTATGTGAATTATATCTCAGTAAAGATGTTTTAAAAATAGAGAGAGGAGTTGGAGCATTTCTGCTTAAATGAAAAGTACGTCCTCTAGGGTAAACCTATAGCATATTCTTTGTATTCTCCTTCTCCAATCCACTCCCACACCCAAGTTCTAGCACAGAGCTCTTCACTCTGTGATCCAAACTTGGTAGAGACCCTCAAGAATCAAGTTCTCCAGCCCCTGGCACCCCAATCTCTGAGTCCACGCTGCCCACCCAAGGGCTGCAGTATTACGGTTTTACTGGTGTGTGCCCACTGCGTTACTGGTGTGCCAAGGTATTGATCTTGTCAGTCCTCCGGGTGGCCAGGTGGCGCTGTGCGCAGCCAGAGACCACTGGCTAGTTACCACTTTACCCCAGTGTGCCACACAAACATTCTCATTGCCGATGGGGCCACGATGGGAGAAAAGCTGGGAGGCCCTGTTCTAAGCAACAGCTTTCTGGGTGGGAGAAAAGCCAGTTTCCCATCTTTGTTCCTCAGCCCACCCCCTCTACTGGGTAAGACACACGCCTCAGGGCAAGAGCTGTGGTGCCACCCCAGGAAGGTGTGCCAGGTGACTGGGGGTCCAAGCTGGCCTGCCCTCTGATGTTCCTCAGTGGCTGGGACGTCTGGGCCTCTGCTCCCACCTTTTCTCCTGTCTGCATTCTCTCCTTTCCTCAATGCATTGAGTAAACCTCACTTCCCAGCCCTTCTCCATCTCCCTCTGGTGATCTAATAAAGACCCCAAAACTTAAACACAAAGATACGACACCAAAAAATTGAATATGAAAACATGAATGCAGGTCCCCTCACTAGTCAAATTCATTGAGTCAGAAAGTAGAGTGATGGTGGCCAGGGGTTGGTGGGGAGGAGAAAGGGGAGTTAGTGTTTAATGGGTACAGGGTTTCAGTCCGAGGTGATGAAAAGAATTCTGGAGATGGTTATACGACAGTGTGAACGTACTTAACGTCACTGAACTGTTCCCTTAAAGATGGTTAAAACGGCAAATTTTATATTATGTATTTTTTGCTACAATAAAAAAATACCCATGCATTTATAAAAATCAAATGTTAAACTTATACTTCATATTTAACTTATAATTTAGTTAAATTATTAAGATGCAATAAAAATGTATACCTGTGATTTCTGAGACAGGGATCTTAATGCCTACAGTATGTGTATGGTATTATATACTTCTGTTTATTCTACTGCATTCTCTTTTAAGCTGGTTCAGTGTCTCTCATGAGACCAGGGCCGTGACTGGTGTCGCCAAACCTCTCACATCACTCTGCTGGCCCCTTACCACTTTGTTGAGCTCTGGGCTGTCTGGGCTGTTGTCCTGGAAATACTCCACAGCCTTCTGAATCTTGGCCATGCTTCCCAGGTACTCTTCCAGCCTGCCTGTGGGGCTGGAAAGGAGAAAAGTCCTATTAGCATGGGCAGAAGGAAGGACCAAGAGAATGGTATTTGGAAAGGGGAGAAGAGAATTAACACAGGGGACTCTAGGCTCAAATATATTCTACTTCTTCCTTCCAAGGCCTACAGCCACGGGTCCGAGAGGCGTTAGGAATGTGACCTTCTGGCCCTAGCTCACCCCTCCCTGATGATCTTCTCAGTGTCACTGGCCACATGGTAGTAGCTGATAACGTGGTCCAGACAGGACAGAGTCTTCTCAACATTCTCCTGCAGCCGCTGCAGGTTCTCCGTCTGTTTGTGCACAGGGATGATGGAGTTCTCCAGCTTCATAAGGCGACTCTCAAAGGACGACAGGATAGACACCTGCGGGGGGAAGCTCCGTGCTCTCAGGCCTCGGGGCTGTCCCAGCACTGCTTCTGCCACCCACCAGGTCTTTGGCAATTGCTGTCTCTTCTCTGGTTTTCTAGACAATAAGCTCCATGAGGGAAGGGACGGGGTACACCTGTTCACCGCTGTATCCCCAGAACCTACCATCTGCCTGGCACATAGGAGGTGGCCCAAATAAACTGGCTGAAGTTTGATTTGAAGGCAAGTCAAGCATTAAATTAACTCCTCCTCAGATAATCACCTCAGGATGGCTTCCCTTCCACCCTTTGAAGCCAAATCTCAATCTCTATTCCCTCTGATGCTTTCCTGGACTGAACAGGAAGTAGTTTCATACAGGGTAGCCTCAAATGCATTGCTGGTACCTTCAAAACCCTTTCTCTCCAAGAGTGAATCTCATTAAGTAAGAACTAGCACCTGGTGACTGTGTTACTAAATACATACTCAAGTTTGTATCTGCTCGGTTTGTGCTTTTCCAGTCTTCTCTAGGAAAAAGGAAGGAAACTCTTATTTACTGAGGACCTATTGTATACCAGGTGCTATGCAAAATGCATCTCCATGCATTAGCTTCTATGACCTTCCCAGTTACACTGGAGGTTGGCATCGTCTGTTTTAGCAGAGGAAGTCACTGAGGCTCAGAGTTACCTGTCAGGGGCCACACACAAATAAGTGGAGGGGCGAGAACTAGACCCCAGATCTATCTCTCTGACTTCAGAGCTCATTTTACACCTCGAGCCCTCTGGGGTGAAGGCTGAGTCTTTTTCTGCCCTCAGTAATCCCAGAAGTGGTAACCCAGCCGTCCAACCCTCACTTGAATTGACGATGATGCATGGCCAGTACCCAGCCCACCTAAGTCAGTCTCACTAAATGTCTGCAGAAGGAGAGAAGGAAGAATGGAGAACTTAGGCAGAGAGCAGAAAGCCCAGGCCAGTGGGGGCTGCAGCATCCTCAGCGAAGGGGCGGACAAGGGGAAGGGAGTGTTAAGAGACGCGTCACACTGTTGCTAGAGAAACCCACAGCTTACCACCACCACTACCCAGACCAGCGCCCCCAGGCCTTAGGTACCGGAACTACCGGGTCGCAGGGTTCTCCTCCTGCGTCTGGGAGCCCTCCCAGCTGAGGGGTTACTCACCATGTTCTTGGTGAGCTGGTCGCTCTTCTCCAGGCTGTCTCGGATGAAGGACAGCGTCTCCTCCTCCTGGGGGGAGCGCAGGCAAGGACATCACCAGAAGCCGAAGGCTAAAGGAGACCACCGCGTCCTAGATCCACGGCCTCGCCCCTTACTAGGTCTCCTCGCAGGGAGGGCCCCCTCCCACTCCCGTCGCCTCCCCCAGTAGAGGCCCGGCCCGGATCTCGACCCCTCCCTCACCTCCTCCCCCGCCGCCCCAGCTCCAGCCCCACCTGCTTCAGCTTGTCCTCGATCTCCCGCCGCCGGGCGGACGCCTCCTGCGGGGGTATCATGACTTCGACCCTCCCAGTGGCTCTCACTGCCCAGTACCTCGCCTCCGGGTGCCCTCTCGGCTCCCGTCCCTGTCACACCCACTTCCGCCCGCGGCCCCGCCCCGGGGCGCGCTGATGTGCCATGTTAGGCGTGGCGAGCTGAGTGCGCCTGCGTGCAACTCAGTACCGGGGGACCGGGCAGGTGGCCATCTTGGGTGTGGCAGAGAACGGTGTTCGGGTTTGTCCTTGATGCGGGTTTCCACCCTCAACAGAGAAGGTTCTCTTGAGCGGCGTTTTGTCACAACAGTTGCAACTCACTTGCCGTCTTCGTGGGAAGGCTGACTCTTCTCACAAAGATCAATGACGAATTCGTTTCTCCAGATCGAAGTCTGGATCCAGGCATCGATGGCGCATTCCCCACAAAGCACAGCAAGCACAGCACACAGCAGGCGCCTAATATGTGTCCATTTAATGAACAAGGGGCCTGTGTATTCTTGTCCCCCTTCGGCTCAAAAGCTCATGTAACGAGCCCTGTGTGCAAGCCCTCGGCTGGGGACAGAGTGGTCGCCCATGGTCCCAGCGGCACCCATAACTACAATTCTGCCTTGTGGAGGGGCTCAGCCAAATTCCTGTGGCAGGAGTTCTCGGAGCGTCCATCCCAGGGATTTGGATGGGACGGGAGAGCAAGCCCCAAGCTCCACCGGAAGGTGTCTGTTTTGTAGAGAACTGTGTGGTTTTATTTGCTGGGGGTGAGGACCCCGCTGCGGGGAGGGCACGGGTGGGAGTGCTGAGGACCTGGGCGGGTAGAGAAGTGGCTTCAGCGGGGAGTTTTCCTACATTTGGAAACAGTGCAAGGGGAAGGGTGAAAGAGCCCAGACCTGTCTGAGGGGTTGGGGCCCAGGTGGTGGGGTCAGTTAAGGAGAGGTTGAGGCCTGCCTGCAGGTATTCAGACACACGGGGAGCATTGCTCACAGGGCCTTTGAGGAAATCAGAAAGGCTTGGAGAACTGCTAGGGCCCCTTCTGCAGGGTGCCAGAATGTCTCAGTTCCTCTGCCCAGACTCTCCTCTAAGTACAGCTCTGGGGCGGGAAGGGGGACCTGGATCAAGTTTCCTGCAGGGATGGATGTTCCGGATCCACCACCAGAGCCAGCTCCTGCAAAACCTAGTTACTCCCTCCTCCATCCCTTCCCTGCTCACCCTGTCTCTGCCCCCAGCCCTGGGGAAGTAAGTGGCCACACAGCTTTGTTCAGTTCGTCTGTGGACCCGACATCCAGGTACAGGTAGATAGACAATGAGGCATACGCTGGTGGGCACCAAGCCATAGGGTTCCCAAGGCCCTCCCAGGACCCAGTTCCACAAAGAGGAGAAAGAAGTGGGACGGAGAACCTGGAGGGGGATTAGGCAGCTCTTCTGGGGCAAGAGGACAATTTCAGATCTGGTGGGTGGCCGTGAAAGTGCTGATGAAGGAAATATCCAGGAGGTGCAGCCCTGTCGCAAATGAGGGAGATAAAAAGGCAGAGTCCTTGTGTAAGGATACCTACGATGATTTCGCTGAGGTGGTCCTTGTGCAGTCCTGAGAACTAAGTGAAGGGAGAAGTTTAAACTGCTAGGTGCAACAGTAAAGAATAAGTGGGCTAGAGGGCAGGAATTCCCTGGCGTCCAGTGGTTAGGACTTGACACTTTCCCTGCCACGGCCTGAGTTCAATCCCTGGTGGGGGAACTAAGATCCCACACGCCGTGTGGCACAGCCAAAAAACCAAAACAAGACAAAAAAACGCTCCAGAAAATATTGATAACATCTTGCTCTATAGGTCTCAGGAAGAAATCCTCTATGGGGCTTCCCTGGTGGCACAGTGGTTAAGAATCCACCTGCCAATGCAGGGGACAAGGGTTCAAGCCCTGGTCCGGGAAGATCCCACATGCCGCGGAGCAATGAAGCCCGCGCGCCACAACCACTGAGCCTGCGCTCTAGAGCCGCGAGCCACAACTACAGAAGCCTGCGTGCCTAGAGCCCATGCTCCGCAACAAGAAAAGCCACCGCAATGAGAAGCCCACACACCGCAACAAAGAGTAGCCCCCGCTCGCTGCAACTAGAGAAAGCACGTACGCAGCAAGGAAGACCCAACACAGCCAAAACTAAATAAATAAAATAAATAAAATAGTTAAAATAAAAATCCTCTATGGTTGTGAACAAATACTTTGAGCTTTGTACATTATCACCGCAATTTTGTAAATAAACTACATATGTGTGTGGGTTTTTGTATTTTCTCCAATTTCCTTCTCTAAGGGTAATTTGGTAGCCAACTCAATTGAGAGCCTTCTGTTTGCCCATCTCTGTTACAAGCCCCGCCTTGTGTTATCTTGTCTAATGCTCACAATAAACTCACAAGTCAGGCAAAGCTATTGTCTCCCTTCTGCAGACGAGGAAGGTGAGGCTCAGAGAGGTCAGCTGCGCTGAGTCAACACAGCTGGCCAGGACACGGTACAGCTAAGGCTGTTCTCGGTCTCCCCATGCTGGGTAGCTCAGGAGTTCTGACTGTTGTTATGCAAAGCTGCCAGTCTGATTTTCAAGAAAATCCACTGTGAAAAGCAAGTTATTATATTTATAGCAACCATATCTAGTAAAGGGTAGACAGAATGAAAAGATGAGTTCCAATGATTCCCAACCCAATGTCAGGCCGATGTTGACAAGTGGACATTGACTCAGTAAAAGCTGTAATTCCCCAACTATGCTTAGCACAAGCTGCTTTAGCAAAAGGAGCAAGTGGTGTTTCAGCTGCAGCCTCAGGAGCTTGGCTTTCATTTGCAAACTTGTTCAGAACACAAAGGTGCAGGTCACCAGGGAGCCCTCAGCTGCCCACTCACAGAGATGCTCTTTCCACAGGGAGGGGGGAGGAAGAGCTTGCTCCCCAATAGCCTGTTCTTTTTTTTATATATATAAATTTATTTATTTTATTTATTTATTTTTGACTGCATTGGGTCTTCACTGCTGCGTGCGGGCTTTCTCTAGTTGCGGCGAGCAGGGGCTACTCTTCGTTGCGGTGCGCATGCTTCTCACTGCGGTGGCTTCTCTTGCTGTGGAGCATGGGCTCTAGATGCGTAGACTCCAGTAGTTGTGGCACACGGGCTCACTAGTTGTGGCTCATGGGTTTAGCTGCGGGCTCTAGAGTGCAGGCTCAATAGTTGTGGCTCATGGGTTTAGTTGCTCTGCTGCATGTGGGATCTTCCTGGACCAGGGATCGAACCCGTGTCCCCTGCACTGGCAGGCGGGTTCTTAACCACTGCACCACCAGGGAAGTCCCAACAGCCTTAGTTTGGTAACTTCCTAATTCCGGACTTTGTGCTCTTTCTGAGGAATTAGCTATATAATTCCTCCAAATTAATGTTTCCTGGCCCTGCAGCAATATTGAAAATGAATACGGTATGACATAACAGCCACAAAAGCAGATCACAAGCGTATATGTTCCCTGGGATGACAGCCATTTAAAATATGACAGATGCATTGCAAAAAAAAGTCAGGAAAACACCACAAAATACTAAAGGGGCAAGTAGAGGAGATGGATGATTCTTTTTCTCTAGTTTCTAAAGATGGTGAGTTTAAATTACCTTTCTATAAAAACACTTCTAAGAAAACAAATCTAGGGAATTCCCTGGCAGTCCAGTGGTTAGGACCCTGTACTTTCACTGCCAAGGGCTCAGGTTCAGTCCCTGGTCAGGGAACTAAGATCCCACATGGCCAAAAAAGAAAAACAAAAAAAGGAAGAAAACAAATCTTCATTTTTTCTGTAGTGATTAAAATTAGTCTCTTTTCCTCATTTAGAAACCACCAGCCAGCCATCAACAGTGCCATCTGACAGAGTGGTCAGGAGGGTTTTCTTTCTTTCTTTTTTTTCCTCTTGAAATCCTCTTATATATAAAATGAGAGAAAGGACCAGGGTGCCCAAAGCCCAGGGATGGGCAGCCTTTCTCATGCTCTCGTATAAGGCAGAGACAGCAAAGGAAATGCTTAGCGTCCTTCAAGCCACCTGTGGGCTCAAATCTGCAATTTGGGTTTAAAACTGCTCTTCAAATTAAGTGTAATACTTATTCAAGGTTAAAAATTCAAACTGTAAAGAAGGTATAAAGTGAAGAACAGAAAGTGTCCTCCTCCTCCTTGGCCCCAAGCACCTCTGTTCAAGAAATAACCGCAGTTATGACTTTCCAGATGTGTCCATACAAATCCAAGCCTATTATAAACAGAATAAGCTAATATCCTTAGAAAAAAAAAAAAAAGCCACAAATGCTATCTCATTAAACATACCATTCTTGTAGCCTGCATGTCCACTTAACAGTATACCTTGACCATCTTTCAATAATAGTGTGTATTCTTTGCATAGTCTTTGCATAGTATCTCACTGAATAGATATTATATATCGAAGCAGTCTCTATTATTGGACATTTAGGGTGTTCCCAGGTATCTTACTACTGCAAACTCTGCCCCCGTACGTACATACACTCTGCTCTCAGCCTTCTGAGAGTGGAATTGCTAAATCAAAATGTACACCCCTTTTACATTTGTATAGATACGTACAAATTGCCATCCAAAATGGTTGAACTAGTCTATATTTCCAATACCGATGTACAGATGTGCCTTACACTCCCTTAGACCGCCTTAACCCACACTAAATATCACCAAGCTTTAACATTTTGGCCAAAATCTGATAGATGAAAAACGGCATACCATGTTTAATTTTTTTAAATATTTATTTATTTGGCTGCTCTGGGTCTTAGTTACAGCACAGTGCCATGAGCGGGATCTTCATTGTGGCATGCGGGATCTTTAGCTGTGGCAATGTGGGCTGTTAGTTGTGGCATGCGGGCTCTAGTTCCCTGACCAGGGATCGAACCCGGGCCCCCTGCATTGGAAGTGTGGAGTCTTAACCGCTGAACCAGCAGGGAAGTCCCTCATGTTTAATTTTTGAACTAAATGGAAAGGAAAATAAAACTTATAAGAATGTGTGGGATGCAGTGAAAATAGTGCTTAGAGGGAGATTTATAACATTGAATAGATACATTAGAAAAGAAAGATCTAAAATCGGTAATCTAAGC